TTAGTTGGCATAAAGGGAACTGCTTTAGGCTGGTTTATCTATCTGAACGCTCTCAGTTTGTACGTATCAACGATGAATCTTCCACGCAAACCAAAGTTAGCCATGGAGTGCCACAGGGCTCAGTGCTCGGACCTATTTTGTTCACATTATATATGCTTCCGTTAGGCAATATTATAAGGAATCATTCTGTAACTTTCATTGTTATGCGGATGATACTCAACTATATTTATCAATCAAGCCTGATGAAATTAATCATCTAAATAAAATTCAAGACTGCCTCAAGGACTTAAAAACGTGGATGACCTTAAACTTTTTGATGTTAAACACGACCAAAACTGAAGTTATTGTACTCGGCCCGATGAATCTACGAAACAAATTATCTAAAGATATACTAGTTATGGATGGCATTAATTTGGCCTCCAGTGAGACTGTAAGGAATCTTGGTGTTATATTTGATCAGGATTTATCCTTTAACACCCACATAAAATCAATTTCAAGGACCGCCTACTTCCATCTACGTAACATTGCAAAAATCAGGCATATCTTGCCTCAAAACGATGCAGAGAAACTAGTCCATGCATTTGTTACTTCAAGGCTGGATTATTGTAACTCCTTATTACCAGGGTGTGCCAAGAAGTCAGTTATGTCGCTTCAGCTGATTCAAAATGCTGCATCTCGTGTACTAACCAGAGTTAGGAAAAGGGACCACATTACTCCTGTTCTGGCTGCCTTACACTGGCTCCCTATAGAACACAGGATAGAATTTAAAATTATTCTTCTCGCCTACAAAGCCCTTAATGGGCAGGCGCCATCTTACCTTAAAGAACTCATTATACCCTACTGTCCTACTAGGGCATTACGTTCCAAGAATGCAGGGTTGTTGGTTGTTCCTAGAGTCTCTAAAAGTACAATGGGAGCCAGAGCCTTTTCTTATCAAGCTCCACATTTGTTGAATCAGCTTCCAGTTTGTGTTCGGGCGGCAGACACCCTATCCATTTTTAAGAGTGCGCTTAAGACCTTCCTTTTTGATAAAGCTTATAGTTAGGGCTGATTAGATTCAGCCCCTAGTTTTGCTGATATAGGCTTAGTTTGTCGGGGGACATCTTACTTCTTCCTTCTCTCTGTCTATACCTGTGTACTCTCATGTTCCGATTAACCCAGCTTCCCCACATTTCTTTCTTTTTGGTGTCTATATACGCCTGGTTTAGGATAAGAGATCAAACCAGAGGAAAGGAAGCAGCTCCAGACTGATCAGCACTGAGGAGAATCCTTCCTACAGGATTCTGTGTGGATGTCCAAGGGGGAGGGACATTAGGTTTAAAGAAATTGTTTGGAATTGCTTGTTTTATTCTTCTGCATCTGTAATATTTACAAAAACGTTTTTTTTCTGTTTTCTCTCCTTCCTACTTGTGTGTTTCCTTGTGAAACTGTGTGCTTTCTGCTGTGTTTCTGGCACATCTTACCTTAGTGTCCAGGCCCGCTGTGAACACCGACGGCACGCTGAACATACGGTTGTAGTAAGCTATTTCTTTAGCTGAGTAGTCCCTCATTGGCTTCACTAGTATGGTGTCACCATACCTGGAGTCTGAGAAACCCTGTAAACACATAGCCATTAGCATTATTTGTTTTGGTCAGATTTCACACCCAATATGTGAAACCCAAGAATAAAAGAAGAAGGGGGTCTCACTGTGTCGTGAGCCAGCTGGGCCCCTCTGCCCAGTGAGATGCTGCTAAGCAGTTTCACAGCCAGCCTGGTGCAGCTGTCCCCCAGCATCACCTTGCTGTAGCCTGCAGAGCGCGCTGTGTGCACCAGCAGGTGCTGCCTGTGAGGAGAACACACTCAGCACATCTCCACACAAAGTACACACTGGACTTTCTCAACATCATCATCTGTTTAATCAATGTCTTAACCCTCCTGTTGTGTTCGGGCCAAATCGGACTGATTTATTATTTGATTGCCTCAAGGCCTTATGACCACAGTAGGCATTTGAGCATAAACCACTTCTAATCACTTTCATTGAATTTTGAAGTTTAGTCAACTTTTTAACAAATATGGTGTTCCTGCTCAAAGGTCCCCGTCATAGGAAATGAATGGCTAATAGGATTATGTTCATCCATCAGATCGTACACACCCAAATCCACCATGCTCATTTTGGACTACATTTTCTTTCTTTATTCACTGCAGTTATTCATGTGAACGTGTAGTCCGAGACATTGTTTACAGGTTAAAAGATTGTTAAATGCAATTTGGAGATGATTCATGTTTTTGTGTTAATGTAAGAAAGCAGTTCTCTGAACTCTCTTGGCCTAGCACTTGGTATGAACCATGTGGCCTTTCAGAAAGGAGATCATAACATTCCACTCAGTAAAAAATGAATGTTTTAACTCAAGTCATTTCACCACAAACGTGAAACAGTGGAGGAGCGAGGAGAGGGTCCTGCAGCTAAATACTGACAAGGTCCTGCAACTAAAGTCTGACAGGGTCCTGTAGCTAAAGACTGACAGGGTCCTGTAGCTGAAGACTGACAGGGTCCTGTAGCTAAAGTCTGACAGGGTCCTGTAGCTAAAGACTGACAGGGTCCTGTAGCTAAAGACTGACAGGGTCCTGTAGCTGAAGATTGACAGGGTCCTGTAGCTAAAGTCTGACAGGGTCCTGCAGTAATGACCTCAGTATGTTCAGCAGCTCCTCCCGGGCTGTCAGGGTCGTGGCAGAGCCCAGGAGCCGCTGCAGGGAGTGTGTGTGGGCCTCCTGGACCTCAGGCAGGGGGGTTTCCTGCTGCTGCCCTGCAGTCACACCGCTGCTGCCGTCGCTGAGCAGGAAGTGATCCACGGCTGCTTTGTAGGCGCCGGCTTCCTGTTCTGGAGCTCCCGGAGCCGACAGAACTGAACTGGGAAGGTCCAGAACCTGAGACAATAAAAAAAACACACTCCCTTCAGACTGAGCTCATGTTATATGGGCATGTGTGTTTACTGACATGTAAACGGAGGTCACATGTAGCCACGGATTGCATGTGGTTAAGGGCCACACTGACCTGCTCCAGAGGCACCATGAGGAAGGAGAAGCCGGTAGCTCTGAACACAGCCCGGAGCTCCTCCACCGTCCTCCGTCTGTGCTCCACCGACTGACCCGCAGCGCCCCCCTCTGGTTCCAAACACACACACAATCATTGCAAAGGGTTTGGTACCAAATCATCCATTAATGCAAACACTTATACACTTAAATAATAACTTCCGATTTGATTTACCGTCAATGTAAACAATGCCGGGTAAGAATCTCAACTTCTTGTGAGCATTCTGACTCAAACCCTGAGAGGAAGCAGAGGTTCACAGCTGTATTAATGATATCCAAGAAAATTATCTATTGGCTAATTATTACCATCAGAATATACAGTGGAGTTCTGAAGGAGCATTTCAACATCTCTTTAATCATTTCATTAGTTAACAAAAAGCATCCATTTATCCACACACAGAAGGTGACTAGCTCAGTGCTGAACATTAGCCATGTGCTGTCAGACTTCATAGTGTCCGCCGGTAATAACCTGCTCTACTGCTAATGTTAAATGCCCACATTGAATTATGGGCCAGCACATAGTGACACTATACTTTGGGTATACATAGACTCAGACGGGGTCACCTCTTGGACTTGACTGAGCATGGAGCAGGAAGAAGGCCCTCCAGACACCGCCAGCAGCACCTGCAGCACAATCATCACAGCCTCACTTCAAATCACTGTTCTGAGGAAGGGCAACACAACGTCAAGTCAGTAGAGCAAAAAGAACAAAGCTTACCTTTTCTCCAGGGAAAATCAGCCTGTTTTTGCCCAGCATGGCTCTGAACTTATGAATAAAGTACTCCTTGAAACAGCCCCTGACAAACCAGAAAGGATCTGAGTAAAGTCGGTGAAACACAGTAAATGTCTTCTCAAACCATGGACCATCTCTGCTAGCAGCACTGCAGTTCTTTAAAGACCTGCTCATTTACCTCGTTTTTTATTTTATTTTGTACAGAATAACAATTTCATTTACTATTTTTAATTTCAGTCACTCCCTGCACTGGTGTTTCACATTGACAGTCTATCGGCTTTTCATCGGACATTGAGCACTTCAGTGCTTTATGTGAAGAACTTTGTTTTACACGCTGCTGCAACGAAAACATTTCCCAATTTGGGATGAATAAAGTATGTTATCTTACAGCTGAATGTGAATACTGGCAGAGGGAGCAGAAGCAGTGCATTTGATAACAAATCAAACAAAAAAAGCTTGTACATGTGTGTTCAAGAGTGCTCACCTGGTGTCAGGATTATATGTTACCTATGATTTTCAACTGATAATAGGCGCGTTCACACCGCAGTGCTTTTCCCACTTTAGTTTAACGCAATCCAGGGTTTCCCACACATAGACTATACTTGGGCGGGCCGCCCAGGTATATTAACGGCCGCCCAAGTATATTTCACGACCCATTTAGGTTTTTGTTTTTTTTAATTATTATTTTTTTTTATTCGTCCGTGACCACGACGCCATATGCGATCGATTAACTTGTGGACAATGATCCCTCGCTCTACGCCTCCTGTACCCAGTCCCGGACTGGCCATCGGGAGGACCGGGGGGTTTCCCAAAGGCCTGGCCTGTTAAGTGGCCTGCCTCACAGAGGGTGACTGGCTGTCCACATGATGTGGCCTGCCGACATGGCCACTGTCATACAGATCATAAATCAAAGACCTTGATTGGTCTCTGTGGTCATTCAAGCTCGAGATAACCACAGCTCAGGTGAGGTAAAGGACTCTGAGTGTTTAGATAGTTAACTTAGTCTAAGTTCTCAGTGGGTCTCAAACGGTTTGGTCACCATTTATGTAAACACATATTTCCATTTGAGAGGATAGTGATTAGTAAAATGTGCATGAATAAAAAAAAAAAAGTTAACTATGTGAAAAAAGGTAAGATACACTTTTAAAACTTGTTGAGAGCTAAAACTAGTCTTTGCTGCTGCCTCAAAGAGGAGCAGGGACAGGTGAGGCTGATTCAGGATCCCAGACACACTCACAACTATAAATGAACCAAAAATAAATTAATAAACAAGTTGCAGTGTTTTTTTCATATTGGAAATGGGATGTTATTGGTTATGGCCATGATTTTATGATTATTGAAATGTATTAGGGCTGCATGATATTGGAAAAAACTGACATTGCGATTTTTCCCCCACTGCGATATATATTGCGATATGAAAACATACAGGAATTGAAGAGAATACCGGTTTTTTTTTTTTCGCAAACCATCCTTTCTTGAACTTTAATGCTATACAATTGGTATTTTTTTAACTATATTTAACCGGATGAAGGATTTTAGTCACGGACGTCTGGATCTTAAGTTATCAGAGCAACAAG